GCTTGCTCTGTAGCTTTTGCTTGACCTTTCGAATTTGTTGGATGTTATACCCATTCGTGGTCAGAGCTGTCTCAAGATGTTCAACTTCACTGTCAACGTTTGAGAGTTGAAAAATTGTAAGTGCTCTATATATGAGAGAGCTGATAACGGAGTGTTTCTGGGAGGGGTGGTGATGGGAGGTAGCATTGAGATACCTGCCTCCCAGAGTGCCATCCTCGTTGCGCCGAACCAGAACATCCAGAAAAGGAAGACATCTGTCCTGCTCAATTTCCATGGTGAACTTGATGCTCGTGTGCTGATTGTTCAAGAACTCCAGGAATTGAGTTAGACCAGTCTTCCCATGTGGCCAGATGACAAAGGTATCGTCCACATATCTGAACCACACAGAAGGTTTCTGAGGTGCTGACTTCAATACTTCGTTCTCAAAGTGTTCCATGAATATATTTGCAATAATCGGGGAGATGGGAGAACCCATTGCTGCTCCTGATTTTTGCTCATAGAATTCTCCTTCGAACTGAAAGTATGTAGAAGTCAGGCAGTGCTCAATTAAGGGAAGGAATTGGGAATAAATGTTATTGGAATTCTTGATGATTTCCAAGGTTTTTGAGATTGGGACGTTAGTGAAGAGTGATTCTACATCGAAACTAACTAAGATATCATCTGGAGAAGTCCGAAGATTTCTAAGTTTGTTGACGAAATCTAGTGAGTTCTGAATGTATGAACCGTTCAGGCCAGTCAACTTTTGGAGTGGTTTCGTGAGAAACTTGGCCAGCTGGTAAGTTGGCGCTCCAATGTTACTGACAATGGGACGGAGAGGAACAGACTCTTTATGGATTTTGGGGAGTCCATAGAGTCTAGGAGGGAAGGATTCTTTAGGAGTGAGGAATTTCGTCAAGTCAGCGGAGAGACCAGCCTTCTTCAGGAGATCAACAGTTTTTCGCTCAATTGTACGAGTAGGATCCTTCCTGAGCTTGACATAAACTCTGGAGTCACCCAACATCGCACTGAGCTTACCGGAGTAGTCGGTATATATCAGTTTTACTGAATCTCCAAATTTACACTCAACATAGTTCTGATAAAAGTAATAATGTTTTTTTCTTCGTATACCCTTTCGGGTCTTTACGGTTTGTTGCCTTCCCACCCCCCAACCCCCTGTACCACATTCGCCGAAGGACAATGAAAAACCTCATTTGAGGGAAAAACCTGCCCAGATACTGTCGTCTCTTGAGAAACTCCCGCTCGACAATGAAACCGTGAGATTTTAGAGTGTCACAAATTTTGGCCCCCTCAGCCGCGAATTCAACCCGGGTCTCCCGCATGCCAATCCCACACTATAACCACACAGCCACCGCTGTCGGCAGAAGCAATATATTAGGTGTGTGACTCAATTTTTACAGACTTTTCAGTAAATTTATTTAATATAAAAAACTAGAGAACAACTTAATCTTAGAAATATTGTCCATCGTTTTCTATGACCTTGCACCATCTCTCAGGTAACATTCGAATGCCATCGCGAAAGAAACTTGCAAGCTTCGAGACGATAAAGTCATCGACGAATTTACGCACATCATCCGGCGTTTTAAACGGTTTATCCATTAAGGCGTGCTGCATGGACCGGAACAAGTGATAGTCGGATGGGGCCAAGTCTGGTGAATATCCCGCGTGTGGGAGAACTTCCCATCCCAAATTTAAGAGGGTTTTATGAGTCGCGCGAGCAACGTGAGGTCGAGCATTGTCATGCAGGAGTATGACTTGCCTGCTTCCTTGCCCAGTAAATGGCCTTTTCCGATAAAGTTCTTCGCTCAGTTTGTTCAGTTGTCGGCTGTTGCATTCTGCAGTCGCCGTCTGACCTGTTTCCAGGAGTTCGTAATAAAGCACACCCTTCATGTCCCACCAGATACACAGGAGAATCTTCTTTAAATGGATGTTCTGTTTCGGCGTCGATGTACTGGATTGTCCGAGATCTACCCACGACTTTTTACGTTTGGCATTCTCGTAAAAAATATACTTTTCATTATCCGTCACAATTCTCCACAAGAAGTCTTTTTTTTTGTTGCCGGGCAAGCAGTGAAAGGAACGTGTTCATAAGTTGACCTAGGTTGTGTTCGGTCAACACATGTGGGACCCACCTTCCAAATTTTTGGATTTTTCCCATTTGACGCAAACGCTTAGAAATAGCTATTCGGGTGACTCCTAACTGAGCTGCAAGCTCTTGTTGCGTTTGCGTTGAGTCTTCATCCAGAAGAGCTTGCAATTCCGCATCTGTAAACTTTCGAAGCTGTCCAGGACGCGGCTGGTCACTCAGATCGAAATCACCACTTCTAAAACGTTTGTACCAATAATTACACGTTTCATAAGTTACAGCGTCGGCACCAAAAACACTACACATTGATTGCTATGCTTCAGAAGCATTTTTTCCTTGTTGGAATTCGTAAAAAATGCAGTGCCGAATGTGCTGTTTATCAGTTACCATCGTGAACTCT